TAGTAGTAGTCTATTATTATCATTATTTTTCTTTAATCGAAATTTCCCATGGTTAATTTCCTATATTTCTGCTTTCTGCATTACATACTTTATTTCTATTTAAAGCAGAGTGGTAACTATATGCACCACCGGTTGTAACATTACAAAAGTCCGCATTCTGCCCACACAATGTATTTATATGTTTCATATGATTATGACAATAAACAGCGATTATTTACCCAAACAGCATTAACCGGTTCAGCGTTGTTATGGAGACGGACTGTGTTTCCTATGAGGTACGGACTCAAATCCTAAATAGGCCTTTGCTCGCTAAACACTTCTGCAATGATATATAAAGGTGATTGCGAATAAGACAGTGCAAAGAATTTCAGAGTTGTCCCCTCCCTCGGATTTCACAGAAACCACTGAATCCTGGACCTATGTTAACTTCTTGGATGCAGATTTCTCGATCTTTGAATTCTGGTTGCAGATACGTAAGGAAAATGAACTTCCAACCCAACGGGCCCATAAGAGAGCTATGTGTGGAACCCATTGATCAGAACTCCGTTAACGTGCGTGAGCAGATGAGACAAGAATACAAGACGGAGCAAGGCGACATAAATACGAGTATTAACAAAGCAAGAAGAGAAACAGAGAAGATACAACAAATTGAATTTCTGCATTTTGCATTATGAATGTGATGGGAAAATATGTCAAATAACACCAATAACTAAAGAGCATTATTATCATCTTATCACTGGCAGAAGCTATTCATGTCTCACGAGTTGTCCTGACAATTGCAGCTACAATACAGATAAGTCCTGCTCTCCGGCTTATGGACTCGTCACTTTCAGCTTCTTCCCCCTACCTGCTGGTTATATTTCCAGGCCTAATCTGCCCGTCCCACGCTTCCCTTAAGGCCACTCATGGCGGATAACAACTAAATCTTGCCTCCCCCAGAACTCTGCCGAAGAAGCCTCGTTAGCAAAAGCGAGGTCTGGTTTTGATTTCAGTTTTGTTGGCTAGCGGTTGCAGCAGTGCCCTCTGACCTGCACACGTCAGCAGTAAGCCAGCTGCGGTCGTGTTCCACAAGTAACGAACTTCAATTCGAAGCCACTGAATCTGATAAGACGCGGTCAAGGACGTCCGATAGCACGTGCTTGGAGATATCTCCCCTTGGGTGCCTTGACAGTATCGAGCCACAACACGCAATATATCACACCGTTCGTAACCCTTTCAGTGCTCAGTCTAATTTAGATCTAACAGGCCGTCTTTTGTTTATTTCTGTTATTGAGTAACCACAAATAGAACTCTTCCAAGAGACACAAGAACATTGTTTTATCAGGGAGATATGTCGTTCATAACATGAGAAGTTTTGCTGGACCACAGCACATGCGACTGTCCAAATAATGTTGCATATTACGATGCGGCGTTCTATAAAATCTTCTGGATAATTAGCAGGACTTTGTGATTGGGGGATCCGCCCATGGAGAAGCTCCTACGCAAAAGAACATGCTCAGAGTCGGGTTCGAACGGAAACGTAAGCGATCCCGGGTTCGCTGCAACCGTAACTTTTCTCCTGGGGTCCTGTCTTATTGCTCCTTGCACCTGATTCTCCCACACATTTATCTCTCCATAGATCTATTTCACTCTCCTTTGCATTGCAAAGTGTCCTTACGCCCCGCCCCATTCCTTGTGTCGTTCATAACTGATTGAGTTTCATGTTTTAAATTTACACTCGGAGAATCACTGTATAAAAATGTTACTGCCAACGGTCAGTCGGCCAGTCTGTCTTGCTGTCAAACACCATCTGGGGTTCCAGACCATCATCTACACAATATTTAAAAACTCAGTCCGCACTTCACAGGAAACACATTACGTCTCCATAACAAAGCCCAACCGGTTAATGCTGTTCAGGAAAACAGCCGCTGTTCACTGTGAGAACCATACGGAACACATAAATACACTGCGTGGGCAGAATGCAGACTTACTGAATATTAAGGCAGGTGGTACATATAATTACCACTGTGCTTTTAAGGGTTAAGAAGAGGCGTTTTTCTTATTTTCCATAGAAATGTATGTATGCAGACGAAGGGTCCTGGAGTCCGCCACTGCCGAAGGCTAGCAGCTGACCAGGACATGCGCGAACTAGGCACTTCCTCAACAACATCCGGCCAAGATGTTTACACAAATATCTTGGAAACATAAAAAAGCGCCTTATCGGAAACGGGACTTGGTTAATGTACAACACGTGTTCTCTCTCCAGGGACTACATGAAACGTGGTCCCATGAACAGATGTATACTGAACCGAATAATGCATGGAAATAATGTTTCGGATGTACCTGCTGCCACCTTCTTCAGGGTGGAGGTGATACTTTTCTGTGACAGAACTTAAAGGATAAGCAGAGACAAGACAAATAGACCGATGATGACGAAATATTTAACTCAACGTCAAGGCACAGAGGTTACCAGTTAGCAGATATAATATCTGTGTTAGGCCTATTTTGTATGCGTTTGGAACATGGCCTCTCAGACTAAGGGGAAGGTGTTTGAGGCCAGGGTTGTGAGGAGAATGTTNGGGGGGGGGGAAGACAGGACACCATTATGGTGGTCAACTCGAGGAGGATAAGATGGGTGAGCATGGAGCACGCATAGGAGCTAGCTGTTAGACGTGTAAGCATGTGGACTGGATCCATGTGGCTCAGAATAGGGCCCAGTGGCGGGCTCTTCTGAACAGGGTTCCGTAAAAAGCGAGAACTTTGACCAGCCCAGCGACTGTTGGCATCTCATGGACTGCCCCACGACGTTAGATGTTACGTATGGAATCCACAGTTAACATTTCAGAAGGTAACGTCACAATTCTAAACAGATTCGCAACGACAAGCTTTGGAGCCACTGCTACGTCAGCATGGCACCTGTGGAAAGGGGAGCGGCGTAGGGACGCGGTAAGGTGGAGGACGGGGAGAAAGGGAGTACAGGAGAGTTCATGACTGAACTGCGGGACGTGACGTGAATCGATCGCGAAACCTGTCAGCTGGGGGGGGGGACATGACCCCACTACTGACGTTCCGTGGTGAGCTGTTTCAGTTCAGACACAACCTACATGGGGCAAGGCACACACCAACTTTATTTCCACAGTTCATTTTCAGTTTATTTATATTTAAAAATGATTTAGAACAAATTGTGAAAAATACTTCTACCCTTTTACCATTTTTTTCTTACAAAAAGATATCACTATTCCTGACATAAGAAATAAGACACAAAACAGTCTGGATCTTCCTGTTGCACGTCCACAAGGAAACACAGTCATTATGTACAGTCAGAGACAGAAGTATCACAATAGGTAAAGTTAACTCAATTGCAAACCAATCTTTATTACAAGGTCCTAACAACCAATTTGAGAGAGTGGTTCTATGAGTGTTGATGAGTGTCCTCACACCCACCTAAGCATAGCGGCAGTGATCAGAACTTCAGCAATATAAAAAGAAAGTGGCGCGGTGGTGTGTCCCCAGACCGACAGAGTCCCGCACACCGCGAGCGCACCGGAACCCGGCAACGTGTGCAACAGCTTACAATCACATCCAACGCGTAATGTTATGAACATGAATCTCATGTCCCAACGTTAATGGTCACTCCTGTATCAGCGCATGGAAATGACACGACAGACCGAACTGATAACTATGCGCAAAGAATTGTTTTAGTCCGATAACGTCAACTCCCTGATAATGGAGAAGGAAACGGTCTCCGAAACGTCGAATACTAACTCCACATGGACAAGGCTGATAGCACGAGAGATTTCACAGCATACAATCGCAAAGAGAAACTCAGATTATGTATATTTTATATTTATGCATTTGTTGTTTATGCAAGGAAGCTCTCGGCAGCCCGCACTGTGTAGCTCAACGGCAATGAGCAGTGAATACTGAATTTGAAATTAAAAATGCAGACATTTATCTGGGGTGTCTGAGGAAGACCACGAACAATGTGAGTGAAGAGGGTGATCCTCTGGGCCGAGATTTGAATATGGGACCTCTCGACCTCAGAGTTCGATGCAAGTTAAACTTTCGGCATGCGTTACATAAGCATAAAGTGGCTGCACAGAGAAATGCGGTATTGTTGGGCAGGGGCCACCTTCAAACGTTACATTGTTGCGTCACACACAGCTGCAGGGCGCAGCACAACTCGCTTGCGTATGTGACGCCGTGTAGGCACATGCTGGGTTCAGTTTAAGGACGTTTCCTGAAGTTCCGATCAGCCGAAACTACTTTGCTACACAGACAGAGGCAAGTCACTGTCTCTACATATCTGGAAGGAACAAATTGTCTTATCATCGCTACAGAAATGCGCTTTGCACGTAAAACTAACCCCATCACCAGACTCAGTCACTAGAGATCGCGCGTAATTCCTGGAGAAACAGACACAGGCACTAACTGACACATTAAGTAATCTTAACACTTAATTTGCATGGAGAGGCGCGTCACCCTTACAGTGGGTGGCGTCTGTTCCACAGGGAGCACAGAGCATGGTCGGCCCCACTGGACGGCACACAGAGCCCTTGCAAGCAACCGCCCTTCGTACGGCGCGCGTGACGGACACACAATTTCCTCTCATCTGATAACCTTCACAGTTGATAGACCGTCATTTAATATCCTATGATTAAATAAATTAATACATTTACAATTGTGCGTGTTGGTAATGCTGCTTGAATGTGCGTTCACTTTAGAATTCGCTAGATGGCAGGAAAACGGTTTAAACCATTGTACCACCCGCCTCACAATAAACAGCATTAACCGGGTGCACTTCCTAATGGAGACACGGCGTTTTCTGTCAGGTTAAAAATTTCTTCAGGGATTAAATAAATAAAGAAATAAAACCAAATTTAAAGAGATGGATAATCTGTACATTCAGACCCATAAAGATACTTGACGTGACGAAAGGCAATACCAAAATGACAAAAATAGCTAATATTTGTATTACATCTTGTGACTGGCAAAGACCCGTGCGAGGGTGTTCAGGTCCCGTGGTAGGGACACTAACAACTTCTGCCGTGGGGACTTGCTGCCAAATGAGTATGGCTTCTATAGGCTGCTCTGGAAAACGGAAAGTTATGCTTATTAATATTGCAAAACACCGACAAGAACATTCGAGACGTAAATTATTGTTATACTGCGCCTAGATCTGGGGAGGGGCTGTTTCGATATGCCCACTTTTTTACGGGTTTGCTAAATTTGGATTCTACTGGTATCAACTCGTAGAAAATGGAGTGTCCATTTCAGGAACTAAACACCGACGCCCATATCCGCATCGCATTTTGGAAAATGAAGTTTATTTTTACATGCTGTTAAGTATACGTTTTGTTAACTTCTTATCTGCTGAAAAAATTTCTGATCCAATAGCTTCGAGCGGAAGAGATACTGTTTAACAGTGTAGCAAAGGGCAAATATAAATTCACATACATTTCGAAATCTGAAATACTGCAGCGTACTGGGGCCAACCTAGGGTTGTCAGGGCACAGTCGTCCCTAGGGCAGGGACAGCGTGGCGCCGCACCAGGGCCTGAAATTCTTCTTGCGCACCGCCCAAACTTCGGAAGAGGCAGTTCCTGTGCCCCCGGCAGCGACGTGCACCAGGAAACGGGAGTCCGCTACGGGCTTCAGAGCAGGGCGCGTAACAAACCCTTAGAATTAAAATAAGTTAATTTAATTATATTCTACATTTTAAATTATTTTACATTCAGACCGTTTCCTTTTGCTTGGCGGTTCCTTTCGGTTCTCGAATTCGCGCTGACACTGCTTTCGGAAGGGTGCGCAACCAGCGAAATGTGACGCGTGTGGACCCCTTGCAGACGGCGCCCTTATGACGCCAGGCGTTCAGAATTTAGACATAAAATCTGTGAAGACGTGCAGCTCCGTGCGCTTGGAAATTAACTGTAACATTTGCTCTTAGTCCAAAGTAAAGCAAGTCTCATCGCAAGTACAAATGCTGTGCTCTGCACATGCGCAGTGTTGCTTTCAAGGGCTCACCTGGACGGATAAAAGGGGGGGGGGGCCTCACCCAGTGGTAGGCAGCACCATTTTGGGTGTGAAGAGCATTCTTATGTATGTATTGCAGCTGTTGGACAGAAGAATTCAGCCTGATTTTGATGAACGAAATTGACATGAGCCGTGTACAACATTAAATTAAACTTCCGCACTCACAGCAATGTCCACGGTTTGTTCCTAATTCAGGAGCTCGTCATAACACACATTAATTTAAATTAGAAATCAGAATCAAAGTTTTTACTAAAATAATATCACAATACTCGTTTTCTCTTACGCTTCATCAAGGAGTCGGGCACGTCGCGATGGTTGAAGGCGCACTTGTGGCGTGTAGCGCCCTCTGCCACCACATAAATTACGTATATCATTTAGAGAGATTAAATAACTTATGAGGGGAGCTTCTGTGCTGGACGGACGGATTCTGATCTGGACGGCAGTACTGTGCCCACCACCCCTCCCCCTCCTACGAACAGCCACATCTGTCCACCACCATCCCTGGCAGCAGACCGTATATGATGTTGTACTCGTTGTCAAAGTAAAGCATGGAGATGGGCGACATCTTGCGCGGGGCGCAGCAGGGCCCGGCTGTCCCTGACGGGTTGGCAAGGGCCACGATGTGTGTGTGCGGATACTTCTGAAGGAACACGTAGGGACACTCCCCCGAGCAATAGTTGGCCTCGTATTTCTTGGGAGCGATAATCCAGTCCCAACCGAACTCCTCGAAGTCCACCGTCAGAGGATATCGACAGCAGCGCTTCTCCTCCGACGTTTCGTCGCAGTTCAGGCCGATAGTGCGCTTCGTCCTGTGTTTCCTGCCGTCCGCTGTATACAGCTCAACAAATGGAACCTGCACAGAACGGAAATCATTACATTGGCTGTAAAGGAAACTGTCCCTTCAGACCTGCGTGACCTGTCCCGTCACACCTTAGCCTATTTACTGACACCGTATCAACTGCATAATACAGAAAACCTAAATGATACGATGATCATCACACAATTAAGGTCTTATATTGCAGACAGGACTCGAACAGGGGTTGTTCTGATTTGGATGACCAGTAATACAGACATATGGCATAGCAAGCGACTTTCAGAGCAGAATTTTTCTTCAGAATATGATAGCCGTTCAAGAGACCCTCTGCCTTTTATGGAGCCAAAGGTTCATCGCCGCATTCACAAGAGCCCGCCACTGGGCCCTAACCGGACAGCACAGACAGCCACACGTTGCTTCACTATGAGCCGCGCGTGTGCGGATGTCGTAACCGTTTCGCGTGCAGACGCGCGCCGTCGCTCCGGTGGCGCGCTTCTTATCTGCAGCGCATTCCACATGTTAGTCCCGCCAGAACGGCAGGAAACTTTCTCAAAAAATGGAATCCAGACTACTTTTACCCAGTGAGCGCGAGAGGAGGCTGGCAGTATCGCGTGTTGCCTGCACACAGGAGGACGCGCAGCGGCTGTGTTCGTTCTCAAGCCCTTCTTCTACCGGTACAAAATGCCATTACACTTTCCATTTTTCTGTTTTCATCGTGACGGGCTATTTCTGGACTTCATCAACATTTTCCTTTTATAGACAACAGTGAAACACGTGACGGCGCCGTCACTACCTGAACTACACGGCGTCAAGTGACAGGATGAAGGTGGTGAGCTGATTTAGATGGCATCCTGACATTTGTCTAGAGGGACTCAGGAAAACCACGGAACACTTGAGTTCCGAACCGAATACGAGTCTGGACACAGAAACTACGGAACACTCGTACAGAATGGTTCGCGTTCCCGGGGTGACTGTACCACAACCTGCCCTTTGCCCTCCCGCTATCAGCGTAATGGCCGCCACGTGCGTCCACTCAAAGGCACAACACGCTGTAGATAACATTTTATGGCGATAAATAAACATTCGATTTTGTTCCTACAATTTGAAATTCTAATCGATACCTGGGTCTTCGTTTCTTTCAGGGCTTCATATCAGTTGCTTGAGTTGCAGCCATGGCGTTCAGTTGGCGAGGGGCACCTGACTTCTCGAGAACTGGACCGCGTGCTGTCACTGTCGCAGGGGGAGACCGCCAGCTTCTGAGGGAGGTAGGCCACCACCTCTCCCCCTCCCCTTCCGTCTCTCTGTCTAAATCCTGTTGTTCCCCTATGCCCTCCGCCTTCCACCTCTCCCTACCCACTTTGCACCCACCTGGGAATCAACGGCTCTCTTGCCTCCACGTCAGAGGATGACAGCCGGTTAGGAAAGTACACACAATTGAGCCCATGAACCTGACAGTCGCTCAGCTACCCAATATGCGGCCCAGTACACTCACCAGGGCGCCATTGTCCTCCTCGTGATCTGTGACGACAATCTGCCGGTCGCTCTCGTCGGCTGCATGCAGAACTATCCCGTGATTTTCCTTAGGATTCTCGAACCATCTGGAAAGCAACTCTTCGACATTCAGGGATACCCAGCCACCTTCGCCTGACGGGCGTCGAACCAATGACTTGGCTTCTATCTTCATGATCGGAGACTCGAGCGACGAGCTGGCTCCCCGGAGCACCTTCATCACACTCACGTTCACCTGGAGCAAGAAGTAAGTGAGTGAGTGAGTGAGTGAGTGAGTGAGGCTCTGAGGGTGGACCTCGCAGCGCACATCTCGAGCCGCTAGGCCCTAGCCTCTGACTCGTGCAAGGTCCAACCAGTAACCACGTGGACCTCTCGCCGTCCGCTGCAACCTCCTCCCCAAAATACACCAACCCTGAAGACAGAAACTGCAATGCATTGCCAGGTGACTGGCTTGCCCGTGGCGTTAGTGAAAACACTGACGGTCATGTGACCAGCAAGAAATGCCTATAGTTACGTAGAAACAATTACCAGGGGCACGGACCATCCTGCATCTCCCCCTCCGCCACCGCCTCCGCCGCCGTCGTAGCCGCCTCCCGGTGATTCTGGCGCCGGGGCGTCGGCCAGACCCTCGTGACTGGTCTTCGAGCCTTGCCTATGCGTCGTGCCCCTGAGGTACATCCACAGGTGGGCCTTCAGGACCTTGTTCCGCATGACCTTCTCCGAGAAGCGGAAGAATTGGACGTCTTGACCCTTCGGTCCATGGCGCAGCTTGGGGTCTGCAACAGGGGGCCCCTCAAGTAAGTACAACGTGAGAGTGTGAACTGGATTCAACTGGCTCAGAAGAAGTATCTTGTCAACGGCATGACTGGGCGAGGCACTGTCAGGTTCCCAACGGCGACTAGTCCCTAGCCTGAGCCAGTGCAATCCACTCCACATCGTTAAGTACTCTTTGTAGCCCTGCGTTTCCATAACTTGTACTATTCGCCAAGTATAACTAGAATGATCAAATCAAGGAGGGTGAGAGGGGCATGACATGCAGCACGAATGGGGAGAAGAAGAACGTATGTAGGATATTGATAGGTAAGCCAGAAGGGAAGAGACCACTAGGAAAACCAAGACGTAGGAGAGTGGATAATATTAAAATGGATCTTAGGATGGGGTGATATGGTCTGAATTGATCTAGCTCAGGATGGGGACCAGTGGGGAGCTCTTGTGAACACGGTAATGAACCTTCGGAGTCCATAAAATGCTGGTAAGTTCTTGAGTAGCTGCACAATTGGCGGCTTCTCTAGGAGGGTTTAGCTCCATGAAGTTAGTCAGTCAGTTAGCCCTGCATTTCGGAGTCTGAATGCAAGCTACATACCCAGCCCACACCATCATCCTGCGCCCTGCAGCGCCCCAGCTTGCAGTTCTGTATAGCTCAGCTTTTCGGGTTTATGCCTGACGAAATGTAAGCGGTGTTTTTTACGGTGTGATCCAATGCGCATTTCAAGGACAACCCCTCATTAATTCGGGCCCCCCTTACCTGCATTAAATCCCTTTAGGTGGATTTTAAAAATACCTGACGTCTCCGTGGCGATTAAATATTCAAGCGTGACAAAAAACGTTCCCCTCTTTTATCTTCACCCGTCCGCCGGCTTAACCCCTTGCGAGCAGTTCGGTGCAACAGTGGCTCAAGTCGGAGCAGGGCCATTGCGTAAACTGCGTCTGAAATCTCTTCGGACGTGCATCATCCTTTCAGAGTGACGTAGAGCGTTACGTCATCACTCTGCCTCATACTAACGCTGCCTACTCGAGGTACTGCCAGAGATGTTTCAGACAGACAAAAGATGGGAATTCATATACTTCTGGCATAGCTATGAGGGTGTGTGGCAGACGCGGAGGTATATCTCCAAGTATTCTTGGCCTCGACACTGGATGGGGGTGTATGGTCAGCTTCATTGTCAGTCCGGTGGGCTCAAAACTGTCCCGGACACGGTACTGTGAGGCCTCGAGCGCCGGACAACTGTGACTGCCTTGCATAAAGACGTCTATCAGCGGGAACCTCGACCGGTCGGCTGGGTGCGACGAGACGTTTCGGAAATAACAACTTCCACTACATGACTGTGGGAATAGACTTCTCGGGCAAGGTGGAGCTGTGTGCCTACCGCGGTGGGGCAGAACGCCCGGCGAGACGACAGCGTCCGTGAGACAAATGCTCAGTGTTACAGCACCCCCCCCCCTTGAATTGCTCAAGTTGCGCTTGCAGCCCCGGCAGTCACGTAAGGCTTCAACACTTTCAAGTGCGGTGGTAACTACATGCACCACCTCTCTGCATTCTGTCCACACAGTGTGTTTACATTTCTCCCACTTCGCGCAATGGGCAGCACTGACCGACTTGTGTTTGTGGTGGAGAAGCAGTGTGTTTTCTGCGAGGTAGCATCTGGAGCCATTGGCGCCATACCCGTGCGCTCTTGTACCTGATGTTGTGACACCGTACAGACTGCCCCACGGCCTGCACAATGAGTGCCTCCGCACCGGGACCTTCCGAGCGGGTGCGCGTAGCGGTACCTTTGTCGCGCCATCCTAAATGACTATCTCATCGTTTTCCTCAGCCTCTTCAGCCAAATCCTGGGATAGTATCTTGAGTAGGCCACGATCACTTGCTTCTAGCATTTATGTTCTGTTCGTAAAGGGACGCTGGCGTGCCCTATCGAGAAGAGTGCGCTCGTCTAGTCGAGAAGCATCGTCCTTTTACGGAACGCGACCGTTCATTGCCGTATGCACAAAAGACTCATTGGGCGCATGAAATCCACTACACCGCAGCCACTGTACCCCTGCGGAAAGGGCCCCGTACCCATTGCATAATGGGCTTTTTGGGCCCCAGAGACGGTTTGGAGAACAGAAATAATCCTTGCCCTTGCCCCGGCTCCTATTTCATCCAGCCCGTTGCCTAGTCACTATACTGACTGAGCTATTCCGGCATCAAGCCCCCCTCCCGCGTGAAGAGGTACATCTCGGAGCGCCCTGCTCCCGCTCTGTATGGCTCTCACGTGGTCCCACAAACACCGTCATCAGTTTCTGTCCAGCTTGTTGCAACAAGAGCGGCACAAGGGCGCCCGCGCTTCTCTTCCAGAACTAACGCAACTGACCTACATTCAAGTGGGAGACCTTGCCGTGACGTCACGTCAGGACTGCATCCCAGTCCGGCCGCAGTAGCGGGGATGCGTGTGGCCACTTCGAATCTTGGATCGGGCAGTTCTCGTCCTCTACGCAGTGCAGATGCATCTCATGGGACGAGCCGTCAAACCACTTCGGGACAGGACGGGACCAATGCTCGTTGTGAAGTGCGCACAGACGCGCGCGCAATGGCGGCGTGTGTACCGAACCCGATTATTTTGACGATGCTGTATTACTGACACATTCTAGTCGGCCCACACGGTGGGCTTCCACGCGCCGTCCTGGGGTGTGAAGCCGAGCGACACACTCCGTACGGAACCAACTGCAACGTACAGCCCAGCGATAACGAGTATCAAACAGGTCTCCATTTATTAACGATAATATCAATTTTGGGTCTTAAACTTCGGAGAAGCAATTGCAAGGAATTATTCTTTGGCTGCACGCCACTGATCCCTGCAAGGGCCAGGTACCCAATCAGCACTAAGAACTGCGGAGTATTGGTCTTAATGATGACCAATGACCTTTCCCAACAGAAGAATGCACCGGACTGCTGCAATTGCCACTGCATCAGGGGTCACAAGGGGTCAGGGCAATGTGCTTGATCACACAGCTTGTTTCCAAGTGGCCGTGAATGCGGGATCGGCTCAGCTGTGCATGCAAACAAACATGGACACACACTCACTTCTGCCTGCGTCACTTTCTGAAAACGGGGCCCAACTTACGCAAGCCGCCTCACACTCATCCCTACCTAGACAACTCAGGACAGAGAAAATAATATCTCAAAATATAATCATAATTCTTGGTGTTAATACACGGAATATTCCCTACTTTTCCAAATTATTTTTTTTCGAAAGATTTGGAGCGGGGCAGATGCCTGGCTTGCCCTCCCCCTCCAACGCCGCAGACGCCCCATGTGTACTTGGGGCGCACAAAGCCGCACCCCCTCCCCCGGGCTGCAGATGATGCGAAGATACTGCAAGAGCAGTCGCGGACAGCCGACACGAGGTGGTCCTATAGACTGGGAGTCTGCAGAGGGTAATAACCGCTCACCGTAAGAAACGAACATGTTACGAAATGGAACGACATAAGCAACACGATCAGATGGGCTAGGCTGCAGAGTGGTTTCGTCTGGCTCGCAAGGGGGTCCAGTGGCGAGTTGTAGTGAACTTTATGTTCCATAAAAGACCGGCTGAGTAACTGTCAGTTTCCCAAGAAGTCCTGCGCTTCAGCTGCACGGATGGGCGCGCGTTGCGCCGCCGCTTGTACGGCGACTGGATACAGAAGCACTCGGCCAAGTGAGCGCGTGAGAGTGACTACGAGGGCAAGCAATCAGGCACTTCACCCACATAGGAACGAGGTGTGTCCAGACGCAGCGTGCAACGCGATGACACGACTATACTCTGTCGCAAACATCTCTCAGTTTCAAAGTTATTTACCGATAAAAATATGTTATTGATCTCGTGGAGGCAGACACCAAACTGTGCAGCCATAGGAGGTTCATGTGGAAGAAACAGGAAGTTCTTTCCGTTATGATATAACCTCAGAGATGTCTGGGACAGAGCGTAATCTCGTGTTCTCCAGAAACTCGCTACCCGAAACACGACTCTTTCAGAACGTCGACATGAGTAACAGTGACCAAGCCAAGTTTGCTGCCTTGTCACAAACATTTACTTGAAACTGGTTCTCAATACCGCACGGACTGGACACGAACCCAGTTCCTTCCGCGTAAGTACCGTCCTGTTGCGAGGCTCCCAGTTGCATTAATCCTTCAAGAGAAACATTTTCATGAAAATCTGCTACGTTATCGCTGGAAACCCCGGTTCTGGAAACTTTTGCGACGAAATATTATTTTCGCGAAAATTTTTAACCTTATTATTATCTCATGGCCAAAGATTTCAACTTTGGAAACTCCTGGCGTCGAACCCGTTTGTGCTGACAAACAAATTGAATAGCGCTGACAGATCGTCTTGTGGGGTGCAGCTGACCCGTGTCCAGAGCAGAGGTCATCTGGGACAAAGACAGGGAGCCAGAAGTATCACATCTAAATATACGCTGCTTCAATAAGTGATACACATGCCAGAGCAAATTCTAAGTCTCAAAATTTATCACCCCTTTGAGGCTTAGTGGTTACTATATGTACCACTTCCTTTAACATTAAATAAACTCTGCATTCCGCCCACAGAGTGTAGCTACTCTCTGTGTTCCGTATGGTTCTCACAGTAAACAGCGACTGTTTCCCTAAACAGCATTAACCGGTTGGGCTTTGTTATGGAGACGTAATGTGTTTCCTGTTAGGTACGGACTGAATTGCTATATATCCTACCCACACAGTGTATTTGTATGTTCCATATGGTTCTCACAGTAAACAGCGACTGTTTCCCCAAACAGCATTAACCGGTTGGGCTTAGTAGCGGATACGGAGTGTTTTTTCTGCAAGGCAGCAACACAACCATTCAGGCCGGTGAAAGTCAACCGACGTTTCGGGGAAACATCACTGTCAAAGAGTACGCCAAGTAATAAACCAACATAGAACAAGCAGGCAGCAAAAGTTGTCCCCTACATGACTTCACTTCCCTTTCATAACTGCATCTTTGGATATACTGCTCTTTAGCTACGT